TCTGTTAAACGTTTTTTTTTGCATTATTTAACTTCAAATTTTGCAATATTCATCTAAATCTTGAAATTAGGGTGGGGTTCCTCTCAGTATTTGAGTTTAAAACTGGTAGTAACAAAAGGAGTGGTTTTAAGGGGGGGCAAGTTCCGCAGGCTTTTTTTCTGCTAACTCACGGGCCCACGCTTTTTATTCCCGGTTTTTTTTTTGGGTGTGGCACCCCCCCCCCCCCCCCCATGGGTTCGCAGACCTACGTTCCAGTTTTTAAAAGATTCCTACACCTCACTTTTTGTCAGAACCCTTTGAGAAAAAACTTTCCAGCCCCCCTCAGTTTTTTTCAGTCCCTTTGAAAACTATATTTTTTGTTTGATCATAATCCCAAGGCTTTGAAATGGATTTGAGGCCAATATTATCAGTGGTCATCAATGAACTTTCCTTTAATGATTTATGTGATGAGCAGTTACGAGAAATAATACTACCAACAGTAAGTGCAACAATGGTATGAAGAGCTAAGAGGTCGTTTAGGTCAGTATATTCAATTTAATCTGTTTGCAGAAAAAAATGATATAGCAGAAACATTCCAGTCTGACTTAGACCCAGACAAAAATTATTATTCGGAAATCATACAAAACACTAAAAATTGTGAATACCGTACCATGATGAGGAAAGTTTTAAATACCTAATACAGACGACAAACACTGATGATAACTTCACAATTTTAAGTCTCGCCATAAGAAGCATAATATACAAGTATGAAGATCTGTAAACCTACCTAAACTCACTAGGACATAAATTTTTGGTTATTGGTTTAACTGAGACTTGGCTCAATAATGAAAATGTTAATGATTTTTCAATGTCTCAATATAACTTAATTGCAAAAGCATTATGTGTAAAACAATCATATCATTACAAGGAAAGAAATGACATTGCAATCAATGTGACATTATAGAATCTGCATTTATAGAACTGTCTGTAAAACCTAAAAACATCATCATAAGAATCATATATAGACCGCCAAATGACAAATTTGAACAATTTGAGGAAAATCTGATGGTAATATTGAAGAAAACTGAATTACAAAACAAAACATGCTATCTTATGGTTGACTTTAATCTCAATTTGTTAAAATATGAGGTGAACCAGCATTCTAATGTATTTCTAAACAATATATTCTCGTCATCATTTTACCCTTTGATTACAAAGCCTATAACAAGAATAACAAAATAAAGTGCAACTCTTATTGATAACATATTTGTTAACAGCATTGACGACAGTTTTGTGAGTGAACTACTTTGTACAGACCTGTCTGATCACCTGCCTGTATCTCAAATAACAATGAATGTTAAAACTAGAGATGATAACAAAGATAAGAAAAAGCAATATAGATAGATCAATGAGCAAACTCTAAATGTTTTAAATCATGAATTAGAAAAAGAAGGTTGGGATGACATTTATTCTGAGACTAATCCCCAAACTGCCTACAGTTTATTTTTTGATAAACTCTCAGAAGCATTTAATAAAAGTGTACCAATAATTAAACAGAGCAGTAGAAGCTTTAAAAAATCTAAGACACCATGGATCGCTAAAGACATTTTAACTGCAAGGAAAATCAAGGAAAGAATGTACAATAAAACTATTAAAAATCCTAGTGAAATGAATGAGGTGACTTATAAAAGGATTCAAAATAAATTCAATAAAATGAAAAAATCTGCAGAGAAAAAGTATTACTGTGACAGACTAGAAAAAGCAAAGGGTAATTTGAAATTATCTTCTCAAACTCATTAATAATTCATAAAGAAAATACAGAAGGAAGTGAATGTTTAATGAGTGTTTGGAAATCAGATGAAAAACTGCTCATTTTGCATCCGTAATTTCTCCTTCTAAAATCAATTGCTTGAGAAGTAATATCAAGCATTTGACACAGTGTTTCATCACCAGATGAAACACCTCAAAGTTCGTGGAAAATAGTCTGCTGCGCGTTGTATTTTCAACTCTCTTCTCAGTGTTTCATCTGGTGATGAAACACTATGTATCATGCTTGATATGTTACTTGGAAACTTATAAACGAGGTAATGAATAAAGGAAAAACTAAAACAGAATTACCTAATGCATTGAAGGAGAATGATATAGAGGTTACAGATCATAAGGAAATAACTGAATGGTTTAATAAATATTTTGTTAGCATAGGACCTAGACTAGCAGAGAAAATACCAGAAAATATCATAAACTTTGTATCATACTTAGGAAAAAGTAATGTTCACTATATTTTCTTAGGTCCAGTCACTGAAAGAGTAATAGAAATAGAGCTGAAACAACTGAAAATCGACAAATCATGCGGTTAGATGAAATGTCTCCAAGGGTTGTAGAAGCAATATCTAAACATATAATCAAACAACTTTCTCACATATATAACCAGTCCTTTCTCACTGGTATCAGACCTGATGAACTTAATTAGCTCTGGTAACCCCTGTTTATAAAGCAAAGGAGAAAGAACTTTTCTCAAGTTATAGACCTATATCGGTACTTCTATGTTTTTAAAAAATATTGGGAAAATTGATGTACAAGCGAGTTCTAAATTTTCTAAATAGGCATAAAATCTTAACAGACAGTCAATACGGATTAAGGAAAAAATGTTCAACAAATTTTGTAATTCTTGAGTTTGTTTCAAAGATATCTAACGCAGTGGACAACAGTGAATATACAATGGCGGGTTTTTTCTAGACCTCTCCAAGGCATTTGACCCGGTAGATCACAATATACTGCTTTATAAGCTAGAGCATTATGGATTTAGAGGAACAGCCCTAGACTAGTTTAGGAACTACTTACCAGGAAGAAAACAAATTGTTTAATTCAAATTAACCAGTTCAGATTACTTAACAATCAATTGTGGCATGCCACGAGGCTCTGTTCTAGGACTGCTCTTGTTTTTGATATATGTCAATGATATATGTAAAAGCTCTGGGATATTTAGCAATTAATGAATTCGGCTTTCGTAAGCTATGAAGAATTAAGCAGATCGAGGAGGGTGTTGGTGGATAACACCCTGGGAGATCTGCTTAATTCTTCATATCCTATGAAAGCTGAATTCATTAATTGCTTTATTATTCATTCAAAATAATAATCCTAGTTTAAAAACATAGCTAAAACATGCTTACATTCATCGATGTTAAGTTCATGTTTGATAGTGTATGTTTAGGTTGTCCAGCTCCGCAAATATTCTCAAAATAGAAGATGCTGCCCTCTGAGTTGTTTTCTTACTGTTTTTGCTATGTTTTAGCTATTATTTCGCCTAGTTCCAGCTGTAGGTCTTACTCTTCAAACAAGTGAAGTGTCCACCAATTTTGCTTTCACAACCAAAACAACTCAACCTTGTCCCCAGGTCTTCTCGGTTAATGGTGCATTAACCTGTAGCGGGCTGCATTTTTGACATCATTTCCTCGTTAAACACAAAATTCTTCCAAAGTTGGTCATCAGTAACTGTTTATGGTGAATTATGCGTGTGCTTTAAGCCAATCAGAATTGGGGAAATATTTTGAATGAATAATAAAATCCTTTATTTTATTTGCTGATGATACAAATCTGCTCCTAAGTCACCAAGATTTAAAAACTCTCAACAATACCATGAATCAAGAATCAGAGAAGGTTTCGTTGTGGCTAGTAGCAAACAAATTATCATTAAATGTTAGAAAAACTAATTTTATGATCTTCAAAAGCAAAAATAAAAATGTTCAACATAAAGTAACTGTAAATATTGCAGACCAAAATATAAATCAAGTCAATCACACAAAATCATGGATGAAAAATTGTGTGGGAAATTTCATATCAATTATGTTTCAGTGAAAGTATCAAAAATAGTAGGAATAATAGCAAAGGCAAGACATTATTTAGGGCTTAAAAATTTAAAGGAATATTATTATACTTTACCAATGATGGGTTATCCATACCTGACCTATATTGTAACATTAACTGGGCAAGCACATATCCAACTAGACTAAGATCTATTGATATAGCACAAATGAAAATAGTAAGACTTATGACTTTTTCAAGTTTTCGAGAAACTTCTCAGCCTTTGTTCAAGTTATTAAAATAATGAATGTAAATTATATAAAATAAATCTATACCTAATTGCAATTTTCATGTACTTACATTGTTATTGCAAACTTCCTGAAACTTTTAATGACTGCTTCTTAAAAAATGATAGTATACACTCCTATAATAGTAGGTCAACTTCAAAAATACACATTGATTTTAAAAGAACAAATAGCTTACCAAATGATTTAAACGAAAAAAAAAATCAAGCAACGCATTTAAGAAAGCATTACATACACATGTACAATCAGCGAAAAATACTCTTTGATGCCTTGATTGATGATATGTAAAGTGAAACTTATTATGCCACCTTTTTAAAGAAATTTGTAAAGAGATCATTGGGGAGCCTTAAAAAAGTTCATCAGAGTTTGCTGTGTTTCCCTTTGCCTTAACTGTATATACACATATATTTTGTAATTACAAGATTATGTACAATGTATATAATGAAGTTTGGCAATAAATAAATAAATGATTAAAAGTTTGTGGCTTGATAACTGAGTCAAAGCTACCAGAAGTTCAACTTCACTGACACCTCAAAAAAGTATTTCAAGGGGAAACTTTAATATTCTGGTTGTCTATGTTCATTTCAGAGCTGGTTAAAAATATAAACCAGTTAATTAAGGTTACCAGATACCTTCAGTCAGATTGAAAATTTTGTTTAAATTATGAAGTTTGGCTCAGATCATATTAAAAGATCTTATTATTCATTCAAAATATTTCCACAATTCTGATTGGCTAAAAGCACACGCATATTTCACCATAACCAGTAACTGATGACCGAATTTGGAAGAATTTTTTGTTTAGCGAGGAAATGACGTCAAAAATGCAGCCTTCTATAGGTTAATGCACCGTTAACCAAGAAGACCTGGGGACGAGATTGAGTTGTTTTCGTTGTAGAAACTAAAATGGCAGACATTTCACTTGTTTCAAGAGTAAGAACTACAGCTGGAACTAGGCAAAATAATGACTAAAAACATAGCAAAAACAGCAAGAAGACAACTCGGAGGGCGATATCTGCTATTTGGAGAATATTTGCGGAGCCGGACAACCTAAACGTAAACTATCGAAGACAAACTTAACATGGATGCAGGTAAGCTTGTTTTAGCTATGTTTTTAAACTTAATAGGAATTATTTTGAATCAATAAGAAAACAATTATTGAATTCGGCTTTTGTGTCATATAAAGAATTATGGGGATCTCGGAGGGTGTTATCTGCCTCGGCCGATAACACCCTCCTCAATCTCCATAATTCTTCATAAGATACTCAGCCTCATTCATGTTGTTAATTAAACTTGGGCTTCTTTGGGTAACTCATTCCAATCCTTTGCTCTTGTGAATTTAAAAGTAGACTGGCAAATAGCGGATTTTACTTTAGGCAGAATAATTTCACATCTATCTCTTAAGATCCGAGCACAGCAATCAGATCTCAAGGTCACAAAATTGTGAAGTACTGTGCAGGACAACACTGATTGTTAACAATTTTGAACACGTAAGCTGAAGACGATAAATCTTCGCCTGCTAGATCGTGTGAGGGCTCGAAATAATTTACAGACAGTCTCCGGACACAAAGACCGGCCAAATAATTCATTTTAGCTCGGTCATGTATCGTTCCTGGCCGGTCAAATTTATTAGATGAATAACTCTTATTAAATCAAGGGCCCATGAACCAAAACTGGCATTATATATTTCCAAAAAAGAGTCGTTGCTTAACTAATAAAAGTGAAAGTTTTGTCAATGTAATTGTGACCAGAAGTGCATGAACCGTGATGTCTGTCTCAATGCGCAAATTATAAACACACATTTATAGTTGCATTTCACCCAGGATTTCAGATCATAGTTCTGCAATACACAGTGACCTGCCACATACTGATAACAACTGAAACAACTGAAAAGTACGGAAATTTTAATTCAATTCATTTTCAATACAATCCGGATCAAATGTGATCAGTCAGCATGACCGGCAAGATGAATCCAATCAGTCCAGACATTGTCCATTGACTGGCCGTTATTTCAAGCCCTGAGTGTTAGAAGTGCGAGTTTTTCCCTCTTCGTTTGTGAGCAAGTCAGGTGGTTTGCTCTTAATATAATCCTCATATAATCCTCATAGCTTTGTTTTGAAGTCATTCTAAAAAATCAGA